CCATTTTAATTTGACTTAAATATTTTTGGTTATGTTCTTTAAAGTAAAACTATATCGACTATGCAAAATATGCATTTACTAGACCACTTGGAGATTTTGCTCTGAAGTTTCCGAGTCTTTCGCAAATTCATCATTATTATGTTATTATGTTGTTATTTGTATAGCACCAACAAATTCGGCAGCGCTTTACAGTAGGTGGACGAACAAACATGCAGTTGTAACCAGACAAGTTGGACACACAGGAACAGAGGGGTTGAGGGCCCTGCTCAATGAACTTACATGCTAGAGGGATTGGGGTAAAGTGACACAAAAGGTAAGGATAGTATTAGACTAATGACAGTTGCAAGAGCGGAATCAGTCGGGAGCTATTAACAGTTTAAATGATACGCTTTTATGAAGAAGTGGGTTTTAATGATTTTTTGAAGGAGTGGAGACTGGGTGAGCATCTAACGGAGGAGGGAAGTGAGTTCCACAGGAATGGTGCAGACCTTGAGAAGCTAGCATCAGAGGTTGGAGTACAGACAGAAGATAGACGTAAGTCTTCAGCAGAGCGTAAGGGCCTAGACGGGACATACTTGTGTATTAGGGAGGATAGATAGGTGGGAGCAGCATTGTGTAGAGATTTGAAAGCAAGAATTTTAGATTGAGCCCTATATCTTACAGGAAGCCAATGTAGGAACTGACAGAAGGTTGAGGCATTGGCAGTGCAGGCAGAAATGAAAATAAGAGCTTGTTTCCAACCCTTTTGCTGAATAGTTGTTGCAAGATGTCATTATTTACAACAGCCAGCAGCTAGTAGCAGCTAATAATTAGGAATTACGAATTGGTTTCCAACCTTCTTGCGATTTTTTACCAGCTGACCCATAATATCTGTTTACAAAGATACCGACTTCTCACAGCTGGTACTCGCTCACTGCACGGAGTTCTGATCAGAGGTATGCATATGGAGGCAGGTGTGCTCAATTAGAGCACTCCTGCCACCTCCATTAGCTCAGGTGAGCTAACGGAAGGAGGAAGCAAACCTCCCTGGCTGTCTGATTGACAACCAGGAGGTGATGCATAATTTTTATTTATAAAAGGGCAGATTTCTTATAGAAAGCTAAAGTGGTCTTTTAATTTGCCTTTACTGTCTAAGTTTATTATCTTCACCTGAAGGACTGGTCTATATTATAGTCATATATACGCTTATGTCACAAAAGCCACTTTCCAACTGGGCTTTGGAGAGGACTGCTTGCCAGCCTTTTACCCTGTGACTATGGCCCCTTTAATTTATTTAGTCTGAGATACCCATATTGTGCCTATTGGGACTTTAAACATCGGGTTTTCGAACTCCCGAACAGTCGAAAGTGGCCATAATTCGAACACGTGGTGGCGGCCATCTTGTTCGCATGGGCTAAAACTGCGAATAGACTTCAGGGGGACTTAGCCGCGAATGCCCTGGAACTATTTTCAGCATGAAAACCTTGCGGTTCCCGGTCGGTCCTCCAGCGGCCCTTAGCCGCGATTCTATGGAACTGTTTTGGGCATGAAACCATGTGTTCGCCTGGGCAAAACTATGACTTCCATAGAATTTCTGAACCCCTGATCTGATCTGGGTGATTTGGGGATATGTTGATCAGGGCTATCAGGGGATGTAAGATTTAGGGGGACATGTTGGACTTATTGGACTTTGTAAAAATTTATCTGCCTTAATAATATCACAGGTAGAGGGGAGGGATTGTTTACTGTATGTGGGAGTGTCGTACTGTTAATTACTGTTTTGATAGGTCTGTACATCTTGTAATTCGGTTCTCCATCAGGTCCAGTCGGTGTTCCCCTTGTTGTATAAAAATCCAGCCTGTGTCATTAAACTGTCAGACCTTCTTACCTCAGCTCGTAGCCTCGTCTTGTGTTGTAGGGAACTGCTATATCACTACAAGGGATTGCTATGATCATCATACTCACTTGGATAATCACAAGTTCCTGCTACGCTCTATGAAGGAAGAGAGGTTCACCCACTGGACCCTTGTCGTAGATCCAGGGTGGGTAGGAAAGGGAGAGACCCCAACCAAACTGCGAGGGTTCCTGCGGTCTGCAGTGCTTATGGTATCTGGTGAGGTGCTGATGGTCCTTGGTAAGCACTAGGAGCATCGATTTGAAGGGGTTCCATCACAGCTTATAAAATGGTATGAAGCTAATTCAGTTTTATGACTGTCAGAGCACCATAGGAACTGTAACTGTCAAGCAGGTGGAGGTCTACCTTTGGGCCATACCGTAGAAGGCAGTGCATTATCTATACTTTTTGTTACAAAAGGGCATCCGGGTATTAAAGGAACACTGTAGGCACCCAGACCACCTTATTTCATTGAAGTGGTCTGGGTGTAGTGCTCCTGTCCCCTTAATCCTGAAATTGTCTCAAAAACTGCAATAATTACCTCAAAGGGTAAACTCCACCTCTAATGGCTGTCAATCAGACAGCCACTAGAAGGACCTCCGGGTTCTTAGCTGACTTTTGGTCTGCTATATAATGCTGGATGTCCTAATGCTTCGCATAAGGACATGCAGCATCAACTAGAACCCAGAGGAAAGCATTTATTCAATGCTTTCCTATGGGGACGTCCTAATGTGCATTTGCAATGGCGGCCAGAAAGTGCAATAGGTCATCCCTGCTGGCTGACTTCAGCAGAGGAGGAACAGAGGTGGACCCAGCACCCAGGGACATTGGCCCTGGAATCAGGTAAGTGACAAAAGAGTTTTTAAGGGGGGGAGGGGTGCGAGGGATGATGACACCATAGGGTAATATAGTGCTAGGAATACAATGTTGTATTCCTAGCACTATAGTTTCCCTTTAAATACCAGTATTGAGCAATATAACAACATTTCTAGAGAACCAGTTTTCTTTAGATATATGCATTTTCCTGAATTGCTGGGTGAAATCATATTGCTTAAATGTAATCAATCTTCTTCTATATATTGCATTCCCTTCTGTACAATTGTCTTCATTCATTAATCTGTATTGAACAAATTAGATTTTTTTTGTAGGGATGCCTTTTGTTTTTGTTGTTTTATGTTTTTTAGGCAGCAGTATTTGTCACTCCAACATACCTGCTACAAATCTAACTTGGACACTTTCCTCTGCAGATAGAATCTCTATAAGAGGCATTTGTACAATATTGATAGGATTTTCCAGCAGAACGATTCCTTTTAAGCCAAATTAGCAATTTGGGGTGCCACTCTGCAGATAAATTAAGTGGCAACATTTCATGTAAGGTGTTGAGTTGGATTTTCTGTCGATTTCAGTGCCAACACAGTTTCACAGCTAGCTTTTAGAATGGCATCAAAAGTGTACCATAATCCCTTTGTAGATTTCAAAATTCAAACTGCTATTGCCCAGAAATAAAATAACGCTAGTTTTAATTTCACATACTGTAAGTAAGCAATGAATATATCGGTGGTCACACCAAACGTTTGTTTCCAGAGGTTCATTAACCTTTGCTATAAATGATAAACAAATTGTAATAGCAGGAAGAAATAAGGTCCCAAACTAGTCTAACATATCTGGTGTAGGTAGAAATTTACAAGTAATCTTTAGGTGTGTGTCAACAGAACCTGATTATATTTTTGTAGATATTAAATACATTTGGATGAAAAGGTAGTCCAAATAACTTCTTGCTATTAAACCCACGCACATTGTATGGGATATAGGCATAGAGGTTTGTGAAAACCATTATCACTACAGAAAACCACATACTCCATTTGAAATCGTTTGTGGTGTACACTGTATTTTATTCGTTTGACCATTTGCTGAACAGATATGACACGTATAATAATGTCCATTCTCATTTGATCCCTACATCTATTAAGAATAAATTCAAAAGGTGCTCACCTACACATCTTGCAACAACTGTACTCCATCTACATATTTTCTCTAATTTGAAAGAGCACATCGTCTTCCCACTGTTAGGGCAGAATAAGACTGAGAAAAACCTTTGTGGACTTCTAGGCCATTTAGTACAGTTGTTCTAGTTCCCCAAATTGTCCCAGCAAAAACCTTTAGGAATTTCTAGACCCCTTAGGAGAGTTATTCTATTTCTCCAAACTGGCTCATTGCATCATGCAATACTTATAAAAACTGTTGCATAAAGCTGGTTGTGCATGGCAGTGTCCAATCAACAAGGGGTAAGAAGCACCATTTGCACATTTATATGTATTTGTTTAGACAAGGAATTAGTTAGCTACCCAAGAATATGTCATAATGATAAGGTCTTGTGTTTTTATTCTATAATTTGATTGTGCACGCTATCAAAATGAAGTCACAGGTGCAATCCCAATAGTGGAAAATTATGTCATGTATAAAATCAAACATCATACACATGTGCTAATTAAAATACTGACAAAAGCTCAATGTTATAACAGACATAAAAAACTAAAACCCGAGCCTCCAGTGAAATGTATGTCTTAAAACATACCCGAACATTTTTGCCTCAACTAATACCTTTCTCAAAAAACAAGCATGCTTGAGCAAGTTAATAAAGATGGAATTTTAGATTACTGTTGATTTTGATGTGCATCCATATAAAATATGATAGGGATTTGTGTTTTTTTTTTTTTAAACTGAGAAAAACAAACTTTATTACAGAATTTCTTTAGTGACATTGCAGGCATGCCGAAATATTTACCGAAATAAGACTCAATAAATCATTTCAAATTGAACAATTGATTTTATAAAAATATGCTCCTAGACTTGCTCTCCCTTAATTAGTTATTCAAGAATATGTTTTGGCAAATACATTAAATCTGTTTAGAAATATTTTTTTATCATTCATATTGTACAACAAGAAAACAAACATTGTATTTATAGAAGAAAAAAAAATATCAGTAGTGGCACTTTTGTAAAAAGGTTATATTTATTATAAAAATGTTATATTTGTATTCCCTGCAGCATACTCCTTTCTTGTTGAAATTGGACATTTGAGTGTTAGGTGGTTGCAAAGTTCAAAATGCTTTGCCAGAGAACAGTTTTAGGCATTCAGCAGTTCATGTTCCTGATCGGTGTTCCCAACAGCATCTGGATTAGATAGCGGATCCAGGTCAGCAAAGAGATTGTACCAAGCAGACAGGTCTTTAGCAGGTTTGGTGCTCTCTTTCATCTGTAGCTTATTAATATTAGTACTTGGGTTGCTTGACGGAGGTGTGGGCTGAGGTGTTGGAGAGGTAACATTACCAGCAGTCCGGTCTTGAAAAGAAGACTGGAGGTCATTCAGGTCTTGGTCTTGGAGCTGAGAAGGGAGGAAACCAGATGAGGATTCAGCATTTTTGTCTGTTTCTCCAGTGTTTGGGTTCAAGGGTTGGGCAGGATACATAGGTTCACCAAACACATCCATCCATTCTTTGCCAAGATCTCCACTTTCTAAAGATGAAGAACTTAGAATCTTGTTTAGAAGTTGCATGTCATCCTTATGTCCAAAGTCTGAATCGAGAAGGTCTTTAGAACTTGCACATTCTTCATAAAGAAATTTCTCTTCAGGCTTCAAATCTAGCAAATCATCCAATGCACCTTCATATGAAGAATGGCTCTGAAGGATTCCCTTATCCAGTTCATCTTCTGATGATGACATTCCAGTTTCAATATGGTGCATCTCATCATCTAATGAAATTAACTGATCATCATTTTTTGCCAGATATTCTTTGACTTTTGTTTTTTTCTTTGTTTTCTTTTCCGGATTGTACACTGTACTGGGAAACTGGAGGCTCTTTATTGTTGTGATTTCACCCTTGAAACTTTCATGAATTGTGTGAGAAGTCTTTTCCCAGAAGTGTAGCAATGTTGTCTGGTATGTCGTTAAGACATGAGACAAAAGATTGTATCTACTGGCTCGAAGGAGATCTACTTTTTCACACACGTCTGTTTTCAATCTGTCAAAGGCTGATTTGGTATGACGCACTTGAGCCTGAACCTTTCTAAATTTTTCAATTTTCTTAAAAATATCAGGGTCGAATTCCTGACAGACATCTTTCATCCAGAGTAAAACACCTCAATATTGAGTTCTTGCCTTCTCCATTCGATTCACAGTCAATAGAGTGTCAGATATAGCCCTATATCGAAAGGTCTCCACCTCTTGATGTAGTCTAGATAAAGGACTTCTTAAAGCCAATCTTTGTTGAGATGAAAAACAGAGAGCCTTCCCTGTAGCCTGCATAATTTTACCAGCCCTGGATTTATCTTGAGATCCCTGCGAATGGGGGAATTTCCTGTGACAGAAAGCAGATCCTTTTTTGGTACTGTTCAATCACTTTCAATAACTCCAAGCATGTTCTCTGAATTGAATGAAAAAGCTCTAGTTTATCATCTAGATCTGAATCAGATGCTATAACATGTTCATCTTCTTTCTTCCCAGTAACCTTGATGAGCGTTTGCTTTGTTTTCCAATATTTCTGCTGCATCTTGTTCACCACAGATTTTTTTTGACTTTGTGCATACCGATCATAGAATTCCCTTGAGTACTGGTAACTGTGACTGTCCATGACAGTTTAGTCTTGAGACACCTGGGAAATGACAAAGAGTGAGGAGCCCAGGCACCAGACACACAGCGTCAGAGAATAAAAGGACACAATTCACATATCGCTAACTGGGATGGAATTTAGTAAATAAGTTGAGTGTTCCAGGAGCTGATCCCAGGGCCTGTGATGGGGGAAGCTGCACGGTGTGAGTGATTTGTGTTTTAACACTGTGGACCATGGTATTTTAAAAAATGAAATGAACAGGACAGTTGAGCACTTAGCTAATTCAAGCCCACCTTATCTGGCAGATCACTAAGTGTTTTTCATGTACATCTATTTTCGATTGTTGCATGTATTACATACTTTGGGTGACAAGACATACATGCATGACAACATAATCTAGTCTACTTTTGTTTCTAATTGCACTGTGTGACAAACCAATGTACTTTTGTGACTCATTATCCAAAGAATTTAGATCTTTGGAAGATGACGAAGATCCTTTAAAACCAAAATCTGCTGATGAGTCTCCTGGGGTAACAAAGATCCAACAAAGGCTCCAAGGATACAACAGACCTAGAGTAAACATCTGTAGTGCCAAGTTAGCACGGATTGCTGTAATGATTAATCCTAAACTTCTTTTTTTTCTTTCTTCATGTGACAGATCCTCATTAAATGCTACGTGCTTCTTTTTTTCTTTCTCCAGGTGACAAATCCTCATTAAATGCTACGTGCCTCTAATGTATATGCTTAGAGCAAATCTACATGCTGCAAACATATTGCTAATGACATAACAATGATCTTTTGTTACCACTGCGAGAATATTCTAAATTATATCTCAGGGCCAACCATAGCCAAAATTCAGTTCAGTGGGATGTATATCTGTTTGGATAATGCATTCACTATAAAGAAAAAAAAAAAAAGAAATTGCATTTCATTGTACATGTATGGGTTGTAATGAGGTGACCTTTAGAACAATCTGCCATCGCAATACATGCACTATAAGTTTAATCATCTGTGTCTTACAAATTAAATCCTTTTGATATATTGAAGTTATAATACAATTCTGTAGGCTATTATATAGCACTATTAGGACCAATAGATTCAGTCACATCTGTTTTCCTTCATGCTCCTATTCTTGAATTATCAGGTTAATATGACTAGGTCAAATGTTTATGTTCCTTTATTAAGCTTTTATGGTATAATTTAGCATTATATATGCTGATAGATCTTAAAAAAAAATCTTTTTTGACAAATTATGCTATTTTATATTATACAATGTTTGGGCTTTTGAAATATAAACACATTATAAAGCACTATAGGAATCAACTGGTTCATCAAGTCTGCTTTTCTTCTATTTATAATATACATATATATATATCTTTATCTCTCTCTCTCTCTCTCTCTCTCTCTCTCTATATATATATATATATATATATATATAAATATAATATAGCTATATATATTTTATATAAATATATATATATATATATATATATTTATATAAAATATATATAGCGAGACAGAGTAAAGGGTCATGTTGGTACTATTTTAACCATGTGTTTTTAAAAGATCTTTTTTTTAGAAACATGTAAAAACACAAAAGAATTTACTTTATTTAAACATTATTAAAATAAACTAGTTCAAAGCATATTGCCTTGCTTTGAATCAAAACTTCAATGGAGGGTCATTCCAGGTTGTAATCTGTATTTTAATACATTCTCTGGAAATATCATAAGTGGATTTTACAATTCACAAGTACCAAGTGACAATTTTTAAATGGTTTTTACATTTGGCACAGAATAGAATATTTTTAGCTTTTTCTCAATGCTATGCAAGTAATACCTTATGGGCACAAATTAGCAATTCAAAAATAAGAGATGCAGAAATAAATTAAAAAATAAACAAGTATAAAAGCAACAAATATAAATTTTGTAAATGGTTAACAATATACTTGTTAATATAATATCAAATAAAAATCTGAAAACAAAAATGGCAAAAAAAGATACATAACAGTATGTAGCCTAATTTATGACATCCTAATTCTAAGTAATGCAATGCTCAATGATTTGATAAAATTGGAACATTACTAAGCAGAACATTTTTACATCTTATGGTTTCCATCCAAGCCTTTACATTAGCTTAAAATAGATGTGCTGGCTGAATACCAACGATGTTTGTCTAAATAGTCTAAATTGTATGTTCGTTTATTAAATACAGTAAGCCAAAACACATACATATCTTAGACATGTTTAAGGAAATACTCAAATGTAATAATTATATTTCATTTACATTAAAATTATTATAATAATAATTATTATTATTATAATTATATCATTAGAGACAAACTTTATATAATGCTAACATTCCTCCAATGACTGATGATTTAATATTCAGAAATGAAGCTTTCCATAAATTAAAGTGACAGTAACTATATGCTGCAGATGTGGTGCAATTGGGTTCAAATCATGCTCAAGGCTTCAGTCCAAAGCAAAATTCCATGAATCCCTCTCCCTTCCAAAAACTCTATACCTTAAATCAAGGGGACCCAAAATATAGATACCTAGATGTTGTAGAACTACAACTCCCATGATGCTTTGAGGGCCTTTAGAGTCACGAAGCATCATGGAAGCTGTAGTTTTAAAACATCTGGGATCTATTTTAGGCAGCCCTGCCTTAAAGGGTTACTACATCCGTCATAACTTCTAAATATAACTATAGTGGTTATGAAAGTAGGGTTATCCTGGGGCCTTTTCCTGTTAATGGGGCAAACTGTTTTATTAGGGACCTTTAATATTATCAAGCAGGTTTATGGCATCCAGCTTCTGTAGAGATGCAGATCCTGCTTCGCATGCATTGGCTGAGAGCATCACCTGATCATTTTGAAACAGCGAGTGACAAGGGACAGGTGACGGAGTTAACACAATTAACACCTTAAGACATTGTACACTACATAATTCAGGATGTATGTTATATACCATTAGATCTCTGTTTAGAGTATAATAATTACAAAAAAGTGAATTGTAACCAGAACCTTTCCTATCAAACCAGGACACAGAGAACTGGAAACACACAAAGGATAAGAAGTTCCACTATGTAATGTACTCCAATTGTGTTGTACACTGTATGTTCTGCATATGACGAGACTTTCACGCAAAAATAAAGTTAATAAAAAAAAAAAAGAAATAGGCTCAGAATTGACTTTAGCTGGCTTAAAACTCTTGTTCCTGGCTGGATAATGATACAGCAGTGGTGTTGTCAAAGGTTGAGTTACACCTTTGCAAGCAGAGAGCTTCAACTCAGCATGAATGCGTTTCATAGCAAAACATTGCACATACAAGCTCTAGGCATCAAACCCACTGAAGTGGTCATGGTGCTTGGAGTATCTCTTTAACCCTGCAGGTCCAAATTCTTGAGCACTTAGTGCCTACTATAATTCATGTTTGCTCTATCTATCTGTTTAATGCACCACTTTCCATCATTCTCTGTCATATTATTATATCAATCACATTTTTGTCTTTGTGCTCCCCATTCCTCTCACATGCTGTCGCTTCCCTTAATTTAACTCTCTCCTTTCTTGCATGTGCTGTATCTTCCCTTAATTTAACACTCTCCATTCCTCTCACATGCTGTCACTCAATTAAGCCTCCCCATCACTTTCACATCTTGAGAAAGATGTGGGTGACAATCAGAGAAAGCCTGGGGTGACATTCTTTCAAAAGAAATCTAGTGCTCCTCAGGGAGCATGCACTAAAAAGGGTTGGCGACCTTCAGATGTTGTGGACTAAATCTCCTACAATGCTCTTACAGCCATAATGCTGGCAAAGCATCATGGGGAATGTAGTCCACAACATGCTGACGGTTAACTAGCCCTGCTCTAAAGGGTTACTCCAATTCTTCACCTTAGCAAATGCTTAAATAACACTTATTGGGGTGATGGGAATAGAAATGTCAATATCAGAAAAGTAACAGTTTCACTTCAAGGTTATTCTATGACTATTTAATCTCAGCAAATCACTGCTGTTATCTGTATTAGGAAGACCCTAAGCAAATGCACAGAAGCAAAAGAACCTGAACATACGGGAACACTGAAATCAGGCAAAAATGTAATAACTTGCTCTTCACTTAGTCTAAAGAAAGGTAAAATTGTTCAAACTATTTTTAAAACACTAATTATTTGGAACAAGTTTTGTGTCCCTCACCCCCTACCCCCCAAAACAAAATAAAAACATTAAAAAACAACATACTTTTTAGAATATTGTGTCACATACTTTTTTTTTCTTTTATAATTTGCATTTTGATCATGTGTTTTACATTTATAAGGCCTTGTCCTTCTAGCTACTGTGCCAGACTATTTTTGTGAGTCAAATTATTGTTTGTTTTTGTTTTTAATAAGAAATGAACATTATTTTGTTTAAATCAGAACAGCAGTAGTCATTACATTTAGCAGGACAGGATGGTGAGGGAATCAAGCAGGATCAAACAGGACAGGATGGTGATGGAATGGTGACAATCTTACGAAGTATCCTTCAGCAATATTTTTAACAATACCTACTAGGGATAATTGGCTTCGGTTTGAACAGTGAAGTTTTTGGTTGGATATTTTCTGACTTCAGTCCAGTAAACCAGTAAAGGAGTGTGTTCTAAAAATATGAAGTAAATATGAACTAATTGTAGTTCATTGAAAATTGAATTAAAAAATGTAGGCTAATATTGCCAAACTACTACAATATCCGAGTTGTAGAATTTATTTTCCAAATCAGCAGTTGTTGCATACATTTTGCAAATTGGTTTTCTAATTACTTAAGTTAAGTTTTCATTTTTTTTTTTAGTTGCTGGCCAGATAAAGAATATTCTTGAAATATATAGACATATTAATCCAAATGCCTCTATCTTCCTCGTAAATAATTGTAAATGACTGACAGTGGAAGGAGTTTGTGAATCGTATCTGCTGCCAATGGTCCAAATTAACAGTGACATGTTAAAATTAATTCTTATAAAAGTTTTTTTAATATGGATAGCATTGC